AAGATCCCGTAGACATATTCTTAATGACAGACAAAGGCAGAAACAAGCACGCTCATGCTTTCGCTGGCTCTTCATGGAGTATTTACGCTTCTCTCATTTTCCTTGGGATAAGAAGGGAGAAAATTAACAGAAAATGCATGTCAAGGCCGGTCCACATGCCTATAAAGAAACTCAAGGACGGGAGACTTTTGAAAACTCAACCAAAATGACAAATGTTAATGGCTTGTGGATTTCATAACTAAACCCACACAAATGTCTTACTCGCAAGCTTATATAAAAAGAGTTGACGAAAAAATTATTTTTATTGGTACAGAAGAAAAATAAAAGTAAAAACAAACAAGGCTAGCATAGTTTCATAGAAACTCTTAAATATTCCTACTTTTATTTTTTTTCAAATTCAACTTTAAATCACAAGAAATTCATTGGAAGGAACAGCAGAAACGCAACGAAACCAAATTCTGGCAAATTCTAGCGAAAATAAATAAAAAGTAAAAATCAAAGGCGTGGCAAGTTGTGGCAGCAGAAACTTACCAAATTACCAAACAGTACGACACCCTTCATGTGATCAACTTTCATGGCAATAAAGTTATGCTTAAAAGCATCCACTGAAATCTTCTCGACAACAGAAAAATCATAAAACGGAATCATTTGAGATAAACACTCAATTTTCATTGTCTGATACACCTGAGAAACCTGAAAGAGTAAAAAGAAGAAATTAACAATTGCAAGAACTACCATATTTAAATAGGGAGAGGTAAATAATATGGAATCTGCTATAGTAAACATAATCAATGACACACCTGCTGAAGTAACCTCAGAGTAGCAAGCTTTTCCACGGCAGGAACATATTGAGAAAGTTTCACCTCTGGAACAGACGAAGCGGAAGAAAGCTTACCCCCAACTTTTGAAATCTTGGTCAACAATGGGTGTATCTTTAATGCAAGATCTAGAGGCAGAAATTCATGCTCTAGAAGATGGTAAAGATCCTTTACTTCCTGGGTTGCACAGCTTAATACCCCCTTCGCAGCCTGAAAACAATATCCACATATATTTCAAATGACATGATTTTTTTTTCCTTCCATTCCCAGAGCATCAGAACATGCATACTTGTATATCCACCTCTTTTGCATCCATGTTATGAGTAAAAATAGACAATTTTGAATGTTTGAAAGAAAGTTCAGACATGAAAACTTTAAAAAACCTTCACTTCTCAAAAACCTCCAGTACTAAAAATATGATGCAATGAAATAATATTTCTACAAGAATAACATACTGGAATATGTATTAACCACTAGAATTGGAAACCTTAAAAGTTTGACTGTGGAGATTGTAACATTCGTGCCATTTTGAAAATAATATGTTCTAGTGTCATCACAAGGCAGAGCCTGCAAACTTGAAATAACCATGAATAATAAAGAAAAAAAAAA